CACCTCTTCTAGCAAGTTGCTGGCTTTTCGTGAGGTCAGTTCCACAGTAGCACATGCTACCATCATCTTTCACTGTGAACTTTGTGTCCAAGGCTTTCTGCTATTCTCCGGGTTTTGTTTTCAGGCTGAGTAAACGTGATGTGGTGCTGTCAACCAACTGACTGAGTTGTCATGTTGGAAACCAGTACTGCACATGGATAATATGTAGCTGTAGTCCAACATGAAATGTAGGAAACAAATTTCTCAGTCTTCATCTCCTGCACCACCCCCTTTGCTTTGGCAGCTTCCTCTGGTTTAATATCTCTTCCTCCTGCCATATTCTCCATATGCACAACAGTGGGAGTGTAATTTTTTTCAACAGCCTACCGACATCTTAGCCTGTTTGGGAGCCACCGTGTGCTTTTCAGTCCACTTTCTCATTAAGCAGTTCACTTATTTCAGTCAGTTCTCTTCACTTCTTTGGGGATTAGTAGTACATCTTAAAGATGGTTTTCAGTGTATCCTCAGATTTGACCAGGTACTCACAGCCTTTCACACCATCCAGCACGGCTAGCTGTAATTTGTGTGCCACACAGTGGATTGTTATGATGTGGGGTATCCTCTGTTTCAGTCTCCCAGCTACACCTGTTTTCGCACACGTCACCACTGCTTCTCCATCAAAGTTTGCACACACTACTTTCTCCTTCCACGTGTCTTCCCTGATACCTATGGTGTTCACTGCCTCACCAATAGCTTCTAAAACACCTGCCGCATTTGAGCTCTTGACTGGCTGACATTTGATCATGTATGTGGATATTGTCTTTCACATACCTGACTTGAACCAACTCCTGTTCTATGATACCAGTGTCTGTACTGCCATCTGCAAGAATTGTTAAGAACTTGCTATGTTGAATTTCCTTTTCAATCTGGTCTCTTAGGGTTTGTGCTATTGCTGCAATAAACTCTCTGCAAGCATGGTCATTGTGGTAAGTGGAACCAAGGTCTAGGCCATTTGCCGTTTGAAGTTTACAAAGAGTGCTAAATTTGGCCAATGGTAATTCATATTTTTTTTGCAATTGGTGTTGTTTCTGGGAAAGACACTACAGACTGGGCACCAATGCACTTTTTGTGATGCAGGGATTTGTCATGGGTTGTGATGGGGTCTTTGCTAAAATTACTGGTTCCAGTGACAAAAACACTCGTTGAGTCAGAAATAGAGGGGAATTGACGACAAACTCGACAGAACATTGTGTCGTTTACCTTGTCATGTTCCAGCCACAGAAATTCTTTTGTCCATGACATCAAAAAGCTGTGCTTTCTTTTTGCCTCATAGTCAGATTTTTCTGAACTCTTTCTGAACTCTTTCACTTTGTGGCTGTCTGATTTTCTTTATCTATCTCTTCATCCTGACCTGTTTTTTTTGGGCCCAGTAGAATTTAAATATTGCCGTAAATCCATGCTCCTGTTAACATCATCACGCGCATGCACACGATATTTGAAATGTTCTCAAGTGCGCACGCTTGGGATGTAATGATTCACTCGCAACCGGTTGAAAATCGATAAAAATGTGTGACGATTCAAGTCGGCTGAAATGTTAAACGAATCGCGATTCATGTTTTAAACAGCAGGGGCGTTTACAGGCACAATAGCAGCGAACACACACTGGCGCGAACCTAGCAAGTGTTTTCACTTCATTCCTAAGGAACTTGAGCTTGTGTGAGCACTCATAGTAATGAACTGAAAACGTTTGGTTTGCTCCGCTTGCGCCGCGCCAGTGTGTGCCTTAGACTGTGTGCACGCGCTGTCAAACACATGGCGACGGCAAGTGTAGATGTTGACTCATTCAAATCGGAGCTGTGGCGCCATTTTGACTTTTCGTAGACTAATAATAATCACCACCGTGAGAACAAACTGACACAGCACTGTATGGGGTTTTCCTGGTTGCGGATCCCGAAGACTGCTCTAGTACCCAAAAAAAGATCCCGAAGACTGCTGTAGTACGCAAAAAAAAAAGATCCCGAAGACTGCTCTAGTACGCAAAAAAAAAAGATCCCGAAGACCGCTCTAGTACGCAAAAAAATAAGAAAATATTGTACCCGACCCGCTTCCTGACCTCATTTTTTAAAAGTAGTAAATGTTCATCGTAGCGTCATTGGGCCATAGACGTGTAACAACACAGCATCACAAGAGGACGTACACATAACAAAGGCATCACTTTGGTCATCATCTTTAATTATTACGTCAAATGTCTCTCACACTTTTGCGGCGTTTGCGGAGCTTCCACTCCCCAGTCTTCACCTTTTCTCTTGCCGCCTCCATCTCTCTGTAGACTGTAGTGATCATAGACATGGCCGGTTCGTGAACGAATCGTTCTTTTGAACCGGTTCTTTTTAGTGAATCGGTTGAACCAGTTTTTTTTTTAGACTATTTTTTAAGATGGCTCCTGTCTGTATACACGAAGTGAACTGTCTTCATAAAGTATCTTCTTATTAAACGGTCTGTACTCTTACAAAGTTCTCAATGCTTCGTTTTGCATGTATGGAGCCTCATTATGTTACTGCGTTAGTGTGGGGCTATTTTGAGCCTTGTTAGTGGTATAAACTAGCGATTTCTTTTTACTTAGTCAATGCCCCCATTGCTAGCATTATACGCTAAACAGTTTTTAGAGATAAAACTCTTTACAATCGATTATCATGAAAACAAAACTCAGAGAACGATTGAATAGGTACCGATGTTTTATTAGACCAAAGGTTCATTGTTCGCCGGAGTTCTCCTTTAATGTAAATTGAATAACCTCTCTAAGAAACGAAGGTTTAAATTAATGCTTGGTGGTCCTTTCAGGTCATGTCTTACGTGCATATAGAAAGTTGAAACTTTCTCTCTCACTCTTTCCAACTCTTTCCCTTTTCGCGACTGTATGAATGTGTGTGTGCGTGATCGTTAGACATCAGTTTTATGTGTTAGAATAGCTAATAAAGTCTTGTCCATATATTTGAAAAGATAATTGCCTTGTGTCGTGTTTGCACATTTAATGTCTTGTACTGTTCGATCAAAAGTTACCTTGCTAAGACATAGTGTTTCACTATAGATTGGGTATTTATATCTTTGCAAAGGCTATAATTACGTCCCGTTCAAATGAACTCTAAACGAGTCGTTTGCTCGGTTCCATTAGTGATTCGGTTAAGATACAGTGTAAATCAATGAATCATTCCCTTTGAGCTAAATTGGCCTTCGGCCCCCTTAAATACATTTTATGTATATTATTAAATGTTGCATTTGCTACTATATATATATATATATATATATATATATATATATATATATATATATATATATACACTACAGGTTAAAAGTTTCAGATCGGTAAGATTTTTTATGTTTTTAAAAGAAGTCTCTTCCTCTCACCAAGGCTGCAATTATTTGATAAAAAATACAAAAAAACAGTAATATTGTGAAATATTATTATAATTTAATACAGCGGTTTTCTATGTAAATATATAGTGAAGTGTAATTATTCCTGTGATCAAAGCTGAATTTACAGCATCATTACTCCAGTCTTCAGTGTCACATGATCCTTGAAAAATTATTCTAATATGATGATTTGATGCTCAAGAAACATTTATGATTATTATCAGCGTTGAAAACAGTTTTTTACATTTTTATTTCATGATGCTATGATGAATAGAAACTAAAAAAGAACAGCATTTATCTGAAATCTAAAGCTTTTGTAACATTCAACTCTACCCTTCAAAAGTTTGGGGTCAGTAAGAATTTAAATTTTATTTTTGGGGGAAAGAAATATAATAAATCAATACTTTTATTCATCACGGATGAGTTAAACTGATCAAAAGTTACAGTAAAGACATTTATAATGTTAGAAAACAAAAGATTCTATTTTAAATAAACGCTGTTATTTTGAACTTTCTATTCATCAAAGAATTTTTAAAAAAAATTTACACAACTGTTTTTCAACATTGAAAATAATAATTAATGTTTTTTGAGCATCAAATCATCATATTAGAGTGATTTCTGAAGGATCATGAAGGATCACTGAAGACTGGAGTAATGATGCTGTAAATTCAGCTTTGATCACAGGAATAAATTACACTTCACTATATATTCACATAGAAAACGGCTGTTTTAAATTGTAATAACATTTCACAATATTGCTGGGGGGGGGGGGTGGGTTTGTTGTATTTTTTATCAAATAATTGCAGCCTTGGTGAGCAGAAGAGACTTCTTTTAAAAACATAAAAAATCTTACCGATCTGAAACTTTTGACCAGTAGTGTATATAAACAGTAATATAAAATAATATAAAAAAAATGTTCAAGCTGCTGAAAGCCTGTTTCCTCTGTTCAAGTGACTTTTACATTATAAAGGCTATTTTACCTTTTAGTCTTTAAATCAGTATATTTTTTTCTTTAGTGCAAGATTTGACAAATCTGAAGGGTTTCTAATTGTACAGCTGTTACAGCCGTTTACTTTTTGTGCAATATTGGACAGAACTTGAAGTCAGTAGTTTAATTGAGAGAATAAATGGGCTAGTTTTTTGTATTTTTGACTATAGCACATTTTACAGAAGGGAGTAATTTGTTTACAAAGATTTTCTAGTGATGTTTTTGACGTAAGTTTGCATTAGATACTTTTATTAATGTCATATTTGCTTGCATTCTGCACAGTTCACCTTTTTTGTGTTGTTTCTACTTGAATGCTTCAGTTTTAAATAAATACTTTTTCCAACAATGTTTCAATTAGTAATATATCAATATACTATTGACAATGTAAAACGGAGCTAGTAAAAAAAGACATTTAAAAACACATTTTTGAATAATGCAAAATATCGTCTGATTATTGTTATCGGCAAAATCCCCAAAATATCGAGATATCATTTTTTGTCAATATCGCACACCCCTACTTAGCATGAAATCTGCCGCTGGGTACAGCAATGCCACCCTGACTGAAGATGCCAATGAGAACAATGACATCTGTCAAGCGGACACTGCTGGAACAGTGGATATCAGTAATGAGGATCATAGTTATGCAGATTCAACTGATATATGTGCAAAACATGACTGCTTTCAGGAAGATCACAGCTACACCTAGAGTCTCGAACAACAGGAAAAAGCTTAGAAGGCAATGCCACAACTCCAGGGGTTTCAAGACGTCACAACTCCTGGTTGAACAGGTTTAAGTTCAGATGAAAATAACTCCACAGTCCTTTAAGGAAATACACGTTTAAAGCAGTTTCAAATCAACTTCTGCTCAAGACTGTTCAAGTTCAGTGGAGGAACGAGCAACACCACATCGTCATCATTCATGGTTAGTAAATATAATACTACTACTATAATACTCCTACTATACTATAATACTACTTTATAAAACATAATGATAGATATAGATTTAAAAGTGTTTTTGTAGATTTTTTTTTTGTTTGTTGCAGATTTAAACAGCTTTCTGATTCCTCATATTTCTCTGTTATCTCTTCATAGATAACCATATTCATCTCAACCTTTATTACAACTCATTTAGATTAGGACACAATATCAGATTTTTCAGTACACGATTGTCGTGGCAAAAATAGTTCATGATAAAAATATATTGTGATATCTATAGAAATCTTAGAAAAATAAATAATGTTATCAGTCAAAGTAAGCTTTATTTGTTTTATTTGATGAATTTATTAATTTGACTAATGAATCACACAACTGTATACAAAAGGAAATGCTAACCATTTTAGTTCAGTACTAGCAGGGCTGGCAACTTTTGAGAAAACAGTATTTTTTGGATTAATTTTGTAATAAGATTGACAGAATGTGAAAGCCGAGACTTTGTTCATATCATAGTACCCTGCTCTGTGTCATCTGTCGGTGTCAGTGTCTTTGCTCTGTGATTTTTCAGTGTGTGAGAATATGGTTGTGTGATGTGAGATGTGAGTAAGTGTGTGAACAGTGTCAATAGTGTGAGTCTCGCACTGAATGCCTGAGAGTTGGCAGCCCTGCCACAAGTCTAGACTAGTTATTATACTTTTCTCCACAAATCACAGAATCATTCGTCAAAAGGTTTGGCGTTTATATGCTGACCAAAGGAACTTAACATTATCCTTACAAGGTAGAGAAACGTGTTTTCATGTTTAAAACTGAAAGTATATCTCATGCTACACAATCCTCCTTCCTTAAAGGACAACTCCGGCGCAAAATGAACCTTTAGTCTAATTACACATTGTTACCTAGTCAACCGTTATCTGAGATTTGTTTTCATGATTGCCGAATGTAAATAGTTTTATCTCTAAAAACAGTTTAGCCTATAACGCTAGTATATAGGGCATAGAGTAATGACAAATAAAAATCGCTTGTTATTACCACTAACAAGGCTCAAAATAGCCCCACAGTAACACGACAGCATAACAAAGGTCCCTACATTCAAACCGAAGCATTGAGAACTTTGTCAGTGTCCATACAGTTTAATAAGCAGATGTTTTATACACACAGTAAATTTCGCGAATTCAGGAAGAAGCCATCTTGGAAAAATAGTCTCTACCAGTCGATCTACGAACGCCGATCCAAGTGCGCTGGTGAAATGTGAATAAGGTGATAAGGTGAGCGCGAACAGTAGGCTACGTGTACATATTGAAGAGAAGAAAACGGTTTGGATCGGCGCTCGTAGATCGACTGATAGAGACTATTTTTCCAAGATGGCTTCTTCCTGTATTCGCGAAATTTACTGTGTCTATAAAATATCTTCTTATTAAACTGTGTGGACACTGACAAAGTTCTCAACGCTTCGGTTTGAATGTAGGGACCCTTATTATGCTGTTGTTTTGGTGTGGGGCTATTTTGAGCCTTGTTAGTGGTAATAACAAGCGATTTTTATTTGTCATTACTCTATGCCCTATATACTAGCATTGTACTAGCGTTATAGGCTAAACTGTTTTTAGAGATAAAACTATTTACATTCGGCAATCATGAAAACAAATCTCAGATAACGCTTGACTAGGTAACAATGTGTAATTAGACCAAAGGTTCATTTTGCGCCGGAGTTGTCCTTTAAAGAGAAGACTTCAGTCAACATTTGCGTCAGTGGAAACTATGCTAGATTGCATTCACACTCCTGTGTGGTTAAACTCCTCTTACTCTTCTCCTTGTGATTCTCACACACACTTGCTGTGCAGATATATGAGTGCTTATAAAGATGTTATAGCCATGAATAAATGCTCTTATTTCTTCTAAATTCTTGAGTGTCTTGGCCTTATATAATTTTTGCAAGTTGAACTTTCCCACATCTAAGGGCCCTGAGATGCTGACTTTACTCCAGTTGGCATCTACTTCAATCAAATATTTGATGGCCACTTTCACCTGGACTTTTCACGGGCGGATAGCTGTCCAATCACAGAAGACACAAGAGCACTGTGAAATCAGGACACACACACACAAAAAGAAGAACAACAGCAAAAAGCTTAGAAGGAAATACAGGCATTTAAAGAAAAAAGTCACAACTCCTTTTGACAAACTGGTTATATTAGTTTACTGAAGTTCTGGTTGAACAGGTTCAAGTTCAGAAGAAAATAACTCCACAGTCCTTTACGGAAATACATGTTTAAAGGAGTTTCAAAGTAACTTCTGCTCAAGACAGTTCAAGTTCAGATCGAGCAACACCACATCGTTATTATTCATGGTTAGTAAATACTACTTTATAAAATATAATGATAGATATTGGTTTTAAAGTGTCATGTGTCCATTCACATTGATCTAGACTTAATAAACAGCATTGACACATTGTTTATACAGTTTTTTTTTTTTTATTGCTCAGCACTAACAGCGCTGCCAACTTTTGACTTAAGCTTGGTAAGGAGTGGTATTTTTAGTTTGAATTTTGTAATAAAATTGACAGAATTTGAAAGCTCATTTTCATATCATAGTACCCTGCTCTGTCTCGTCTGTCGGTGTCAGTGTCTTTGCTCTGTGATTTTTCACTGTGTGAGAATATGGTTGTGTGACGTGAGTAAGTGTGTGAACACTAGGTGCGTTTCCATTACATATTTTAGCAAAAATTATCTTTTATGAAGGATTAATTTCTCACGCATCTAATCCCATGCCTCCGTTGCTAATTACAAAACATAATTTTAGAGAAACGGAGAGAGCGAGAGAGAGAGAAAAGCACCTGTGTCAATATTATGATTCATTTATTAATTCAATTCGTTCATTCTTTTTTTTTTTTTTTCTAAAAAATGGAAGTATAAGGATAGGCAAGTATATGCTTATCAATAATTATTTATTTGTCAAAGGTGCCCTACTGGTTTTTTAAATTATTTTATAATGTTTCCTGGGTTGCCCTTATAATGTTAGTATGTTTTTTAGACCAAAAATAGTCATAATTTAGAAATAAAAGGCATTTTTCCTAGCCTGATTTTAGCCTCTGCTGTGAACGCTCTGTTTGAAGGGGCGTGTCTGCTGTGTGTAACCCGCCTCTGCTGTGATTGGCTGACATGCTTGCATATGAAATAGTATTACATGTGAAACTCTTTCGAATAATTTTACTACAGCTATTATAGGTTTTTACTATTACAGCTATCAAGATTAACGAATCGTGAGATGTTTTTGAAGTATTTAGTTCTATTCCCATCACATAAAGTGTTGCTGTGATGAGCATTGAGCAAGCAAAGGACAGTGAGAGTGTCGATCGCGAGAATGAAGATCTTATCATTGCAATGCAGTTTCTGCACTCTCTGCTTTCACTAATGCAGACACGATCATGTACATACAGTAAGAGCTTCGTTGTGCAGTGTAACGTGCGTCATTGAATTCATAACGAGTTTGGCAAGTGTCCAGAAACTCGCGCTGTGATTGTTCTTTGATTGCTTTCTTTCTGTATATAATTCACAATTTAAATACGATTTTTATTTTTCATCCTACTAAAAGAAACTTTGTGAAGTTGATATTTAATCACTGGCCTGACTTACTGATGCAAAAACAGTATTGAACGATTTTAAAGTGAAAGATTACCTGTCTAATCTTGAACAACAATAACACATCAGCTCGATCCGAGGCCAGCTCTTGGCAAGTTGAGGAAACAAGTCGTCGGTGAAATGGGTGAAAAGAGAGAAAATAAAATTGACCCATTGTTTCTTCAGAGGCTCGGATGAAGGAACTAAAAATACTTTTGTGTTCATGTGTACATCCAAACACTGAGAAACTGCCATGCTTCGGCTGCGCAGCTCCGTCTCGTCTGTCACTGAACATGGGCTGGCATATGCAAATGTTTGGAGTCGTACATATTAATGAGCCCGACTGTTACGTAACAGTCGGTATTATGTGGAGATTCGCCTGTTTTTCAGGGGTGTTTTTCAAAAACGAGATTTATGTAAGAAGGAGAAAACAATGATGTTTGAGACTCACTGTATGTCTGAACTCTTGTTATTTAACTATGCCAAAATAAATTCAATTTCACATTCTAGGGCACCTTTAAATTATCTGCAATAATTACAAAAACCTGTGCAGCAGTATCAATTTATTTATATATTCAGTTTAATTTTCTATTGATTATAGATAGGACTACTTTATTTATTTGTGTCCATTGATTGAGAAGTTAGAAATCGAAAATTGCAGATCAAGCGAATGGAGCTGCACGTTTTTTTCTGGTTATGAATTGTATTTTCCGTTATTACAGATAGCTATGCGAAGTGACATGGAACTGTAATGCGGTCGAGATCTGCCGGAACTACTTTACCCGTGCGTTTCCATGACAATAATTACACACCTTAGAACGTTCATCAGCCAATCTGATTCAAGCATTCAACGGCCCTGTCGTATAAAAGCTTAGAAGGAAATACAGGCATTTAAAGAAAAAAGCAATAATTACAAAAACCTGTGCAGCAGTATCAATTTATTTATATATTCAGTTTAATTTTCTATTGATTATATATAGGACTACTTTATTTATTTGTGTCCATTGATTGTGAAGTTAGACATCGAAAATTGCAGATCAAGCGAATGGAGCTGCATGTTTTTTTCTGATTATGAATTGTATAGCTATGCGAAGTGACATGGAACTGTAATGCGGTCGAGACCTGCCGGAACTACTTTACCCGTGCGTTTCCATGACAATAATTACACACCTTAGAACGTTCATCAGCCAATCTGATTCAAGCATTCAACGGCCCTGTCGTATAAATATATAATAATAATATGCGTTTATATTAGCCAATGTTGCGCGTCTAAAACGTAATTTTTTCCTCTCACGATAATCCTTCCAAAAATCATGGCGATGGATGTTGGTAGTGGGCATGTGCCGTTATCAATTGTTCATGCTGTTGTGGCTAAATG